GACCATTAGCTCATCGGCTTCAATGCCTGCTTGGTCCAAATGTTCTTCCTCCACTCTTTCTCCATGGTGGAGTCCTCAGTGCTCCTGGCCATGTCATTTGACCACTTTGTGGCCATCTCCAACCCCCTGCGCTATGCAGCTGTCCTCACAATGTCATCATCAGGATGGGACTGGCCATTATGGCCTGTGCTACCCTGTCTCTCTTCCCAGGGCCATTCATACTTAAATGTCTGAACTTCTGCCCTAATAAGATCCTCTTATCCCATTCATTCTGTTTCCATCCTGACGTGATGAGAAGAGCCTGTGCTGACATCACCATAAACATCCTCTATGGGTTCTACGTGGTACTGTCCCCTGGGGGCATAGATTCCCTGCTCATTGTCCTGTCCTACACTCTCATCCTGCCCACGGTCCTGGGGCTGGCCTCTCCCAGGGAGCTCATCGGGCCCTCAACACCTGTGTCTCCCATATCCTGGCCATCTTTGTCTTCTTTATTCCAGGTATCACCATGTCCATGATCCACTGTATTGAGAGGCACCTGCCCCCCATTGTACATGCCCTTGTTGCCTATGTGTACCTGCCGGTGCCCCCTGTGCTCAACCCCATCATCTACAATGTCAAGTCCAAGCCCATCAGGGAGGCCATGCTCAGGGTCCTGAGGGGCAAAGACCAAGGCTGATGTAATTATGAAATATCGCAGGGTCTGGGTACCATAAAAGACACTTTCTATAGCCTCATAGGAACCTGCTACCCTCAGCAAACACTGAAAATTCCTAGTCTATGCTAATACAGTGGGAAGACCATCAGGCTTCTTCACGATACAAATGGATGTTCACCATTTACTTTGTACTAGAAGCAGTGCTGTGGATTAAAGACTGAGAAATATGTTAAATATGGTCATTTCTTTATAGAAACTCACAATCTTGTGCCAGGATAAAGGCATGTAAATACACAGTTAGACTGTAGACTTACACACACCATAATAAAGTTCAGTGCAAGAGATTACTAGGGACTGCAAATCTGTTCTTGCCAGAACTGTCCTGGGAAGATCGGACAAACCTCTACAAAGGGGAGAATGTTTTTATTTCATCTTGAAAAAATATATAGGGTTTTTCTAGGCAAATTATGAATTAACAAAGAGGAAAATCTAGGGCAAAAACACATGAAAAAGGCATTTTTAATTTTTTCATGAAGTTTTATTGAACAAGTGAATAAATAAATGTGTTGATCATGTGATATGGTACCACCCACCTCAGCGCTAACTCTTCTTATAACCCCTCTCAGGAATGTCCTTTTCTCCAAGAGATCCCCTTGCTTGACAGATTCCATAATGAAGTCTGACACTGACAATTGCATCCTCTTCTATAACGCCATTTCAGATCTGCTCCAGATTATCCACACCCTCATTCTTCAACTTTGTTAGAGTTAAAAGCCCTACATCCTTGTTGGCTCCCTTAGGAAGGGAAATGGCAAGTCCTGCATCAGCTTCATTCCCTTTGGATCAAATCTAAGATGAAAAGCTGAGTTGCCAGGGGAGTGGACAAGAAGTTTGAAAGTACTTTGTTTAAGAGATGAACAATGAGTATCAACTCTGAAAGCCTAAACCAATGTTATAATATAATCCTTTCCCAAGTTCAGATCTGTCTATGTCAAGAAGGCCAAAAAAAAAAAAAAAAAAGGCGGCGGCCAGACATAGCGGAAGGCAATGACTCTTCACATGTATGTCTATTGCATCCAAGGGAGTCTTATCTCAATGTAGTTAAAGGAGTGATATAAGATACCTTATTATCTTAAATAGATACAACTCAGAGGTCTCACTCAAACCTTTCTGAACTGGAAATGGTCCAGTTCTAAAGGTCTTTCAAGAAGTCTGGGAACACTGAAGAGGGAATACTTCTTTTGGCCTGACTAATCATAAACAGCTTCATTTAATAATGTGTTACTAAAAAGAAAAATGGCAAAAATCAAATCAGACAACAGAAATAGAGTGAAACAGAGGCTTTAAAAGTACATAAAATCAATGAGAGACACCAAGTAAAGTAGCTGAATAATATGGTATGTGGAAAAATTAGAGATATTATACTGGAAAAGTAAGATGGGAACAGGGGGAAAGGAGGCTACTGTCATTCTGAGAAGTGCAAATTTTTATGGGAAGTAATAAAAGATCTCTGATGATTTTTAAGCAGGGAAGTTAATCAGAGTCATGCTTGGAAAAACTCCTATAAGCTATGTGGGATTTAGGACTGATGCAAAAGATGTTTAAGGCAAGGAGACCAGTGTGGAGATTTTGACAAGTGTCCGAGCAACAGGGGAGTATCTTGACTAGAGAATAGCTAGTCAGAATTGAGAACACAAGACATGTTTACGAATCATTTCTAGGTAAAACCTAAAAAAAATGAGTAAGGGACTTGCAGATTGAAATTTCATATTATGCAGACTTCTCTCGGGCCCAACAAAGTTCCAATAGCTGAGATGGTGGGGCCAGAGACGAGAATAACCAAATAAAGGAAATGGGGAAGGTAAAATGATGCCCATGTAAAACGTATATGATGAAGGTCTTTAAACATACCCTAACTTCTAGCCAAATCTCCTACAAGAGGCAGCCTTTTCCCCTTATCCTAGTTCTTAACTCCAGGCTCTTCTGGATGACCCAGTAAGTGTTTATGAAGTAAATGACCGGATGTAGTTTTGTCTCTGTATCTGGCATTTAGTACTTATTGAGAAACACAAGAAGGTGGTGGTGGTGGTGATGTGTATGTGGATGTGTGTGTGGATGTGTGTTTGTATTTACATTCACCAAATGGTTAATCCATTTAGGATCAAAACCGTGAAACTTTATCCTGAGCATATAAACTATCATAGACTTGGCATCCCTTTTGAAATCTAAGATAGTGGCAGCATCCCCAGGAAAAGAAAACTATATGTGTCTGTCTGATTTATCTCTTTATTATCCACCTATCTATGTCTCCAATGGGATTTCAGACAATATAATACAGATACACACATTCATCATATGTGCATACAGAAGCATGTACACAAACACTTATTAAAAATCTGGAAGAATAAACACCAAAATGCCAACAATAATTTTTTTAAGGTGACAAGTTTATTGGAGTTTTTATTATATTTTTATTTCTTTTATATTTTCAGAGTGTCTAAGATTTTTGTTTACAGTGGTCATATACTGGTTTCCTAATATGAAAAAAATCTGTCTCTTTCTCCCTCTTCTCTCTCTTTCATTCTGTTTCTTTCTTTCAATTTCAATGTCAAGGCACTATCAGGAACTGGGATGACCCTCCAAACAGTTCAAAGTGACCAAAGCCAGCACTGACTCTAGTTTATGCCCTATGTTCTGCTGGCCATCACTCACCTGGGCATAGCAGGTTCCATACTGCTCACAATTCTCATCTTCTGGATTCCAGTCCAAGAAATTAGATATGCTCTTTCCATATCCTCTGTACCAAGTAGTCCTGTGCTACTAGCTATAGCTGGAAAAGTCTGGCTGGCCATGTGCCATGCTCTCTACTATACTACCTGCTTCTCACACTTGCCTACCTCTCTTTTGGATGGAGATCTCATTCCTCCCCCATTCATTCCTACTGTACTCCTATAGTGCCCATACCCTTCCTTCCCATTCTGCTTCTTCTGGGAGTGCTGTGCTTGGCTTGTAGGGCTCCTGGGTGGGCCTCTGGAACCATACTCATGCTAAGTACAGCTATCAGGGATGCAGTCTTTACTGAGCTCTCCTATGGTCTTGATCTCTGAGCTTTGATGCTGTGGGCATTCCCTGAAGGGTAGCTCAGAGCCCTGGGAATACATGGTGTTCACTTATATACTCTATTCACTTTCTGTGGACCTATGTTTGACTTAGCCTTGCTTCCTGGCTAGCCACCCGGGCCACTGGCCCTACTCAGTCTCACAATACCTCCTGCTCTTGACTCCCTGGTCTATAACCAACCCTGCTCTTTCTGCCATAAGCTTCTAGGTTTTCTCAGCTGCATCTCTCCATGTAGTGTCTCTCCAGATATCCAGTGAATGTCCCTACTGTTAATTATACTATTTCCCAAACTAGCCACTGTTTGGGAATTACCCAAACATACTCCTGTTGCTACTACACAAGTACAATGGCAAATAGGCCAGGAACTATTGAGATTAAAGCCATCAGCAACATTAACAGGAAATTCCTAAATACAATACTGGATGAGTGAGAAAGGAACTTAAATACCTCCCCTAGAAAATGCAAGTCTCTGGAATGTCTAACTCACTATCCCACTAGTCTAACATTCCCTCCTCACAATATGGGATTGGGCATCAAAAGACAATTTTTTTTGAGCCTGCGTGATCTCATTGAACATCAGTTCCCCCACTGGTACAATGGGGGTAACTAATCATATTCCTGCCTAAATTAAAATGTTGATAAGAAAATTGGAAATGAAGGAAAAATTTTCACAGTCTATGAAAATGCTCAGAATACAGTATATCATCTTTCATTAATGTAGATAAATATAATCTTTTGTGAATTTACTTTCAATCTTTTCTTAAGGATTGCTACTCAGAAGAAAAGAAATTATTTTTTCTCTGTGGTCATTTTGAAGAGGGAAATCCAGGTATGTCTCCTTTCCTAAGATCCAAAATGGTAGGGCATTCTGAAGAGGAAATCATGGTTTTAAGCCAGATTATCTAATTGTATTATATTCTCATATTTATTTTATTTTTGCCTTGCCTAAGCCTTTGGTAAATGTCTTTTAGAAATATCACCCTTATCTCAGAATGCTATAAACTATCAGTGCAAGCAACCATATGAATTTTTTGGACTTGAGAATTGGACTGAATGGTTAAGTGGGAAGTAATAACCCTCCAACCACAACTACCTCAAAGAACTAAAGGGTAAAACAATATTGAAAAATAAGGATTGGGAGTATACAGTTCTGCTGCCCCTACTCAGATGGAGATTCTCCAATCAGTTTCATCTTTGAAGGATCAGTTGTGCTTTCATTAAGAATTCTTTTCCTAATACTGTCTTCCAAAATGTTGAAATTAAAATCTGAATTGAAGGACTTCCCGTGAAAAGGAAGTTTGATTCCTGACACCTAGGGATTCGAAGTGTGGGTGGTCACATGGAAAAGACGAAGGATACGCTGCCGGATCTCCTTTGTCTTCACTCCATAGACAATAGGGTTGAGCACGGGAGGAGCAAGCAGATAGGTGTTGGCCATGATGACAGGCAGGAGGGAGTCATGCCGCTTGTCAAACCGGTGCACCATAGACAACCCAATGAAAGGTACATAGAATATGAAAACAGCACACACATGAGAGACACAAGTACCAAATGCCTTTGCCTGGGCTTCATGTGTCAAGCCCAACACAGTCTTGAGGATAAGCAGATACGACAAGGAGATGAGAAGTGAGTCCAGGCCAATGGCAGAGATGATGACAATGAGGCCATAGATGATATTGACGCGGATGTCAGCACAGGCCAGCTTCATGACATCTTGGTGTAGGCAGTAGGAATGGGAAAGGATATTGGAGCGGCAGAAGGGCAGATGTTTGATGAAGAAAGGCAGGGGTGCCATAAGTGCAATACCCCGTACCACAGCAGCCATGCCGATCTTGGTAACACGAGGCAATGTTAGCACAGTGGCATGGCGTAGTGGGTGGCAGATTGCCACATAGCGGTCAAAGGCCATGGCCAGCAGCACCGTGGACTCCATGCCAGATAACGAGTGGATGGCAAACATCTGTAGCAGACAAGCATCAAACTGTATGGTAGTGGAATTGAACCAGAAGATGGCCATCATTTTGGGCATGGATGAGGTGGAGATGAGGACATCAAGGCCAGAAAGCATGCAAAGAAAGATATACATGGGTTCGTGTAGGCTATGCTCCGTCCACACAATGTAGATGATTGTCAAGTTACCTAGCACAGCGATAATGTAGAGGGAGCACAATGGGAAGGCCAACCAGAACTGAGCTTCTTCCAATCCTGGCAGGCCTATTAGAATGAAATATGTGGCACTGGATTCGTTGCCACTGGGATCCACCATAGTGAAGATGCTGAGCTGAGACCAATGCCAGGCAGGTAGAGGCTGGAATACAAAGATAAGCCATTGTCAGATCCTCCAGAATTCCACTGCCATTTTTCTTTTCCTCCACCCTGATGTCCTGTTCTCTGACCAGAACTCCAACTTCATTTCCTATCCGAACTCTGATTCTATTCTAAACTCAGCCTAACTATCCTTCATAACTCAAGGCCCAAATGAGCATTCATCCAGTCTTTCTTACTAACCCCACCTCTGAAGTTAATTCTGAAAACAAATGAAATACTAAAGTAAAAATTCTAAGCATTTTAAATCTTTTAGTTCACCAAGGATAGGTTATTGACTAAGTACACATCAGATTTAGATGATAAAAATTCCCATCGCTTCTATCTTATCCTACTTTATGCTCCCCTATGCTAAATACCCACTGTAATTCTAATTATATCATTAGACTATCGTTAAGACTAATCCCAGTCCAATGTAGCAATACTCTAGTAACATAGATTAATGCTGAAATCTAACCTTATCACTAATCCTAATGATCTCACCAATTCTAGCCTTAACCCTAACTTTAACAATAACCTAAGACTTAACTCTAGTTGTTATTTAAAACTTAATGTAAAACTTCATACACCTATTTTATTATGATAACCCTTAATTTAATTAAAAAAAAAAGACACTAACTTCATCCTGAACTCTAACTCTACATTTCACTCTTGCCCAAATGTCCACCCAAAGTCTTACACTTGTTCAGACTGCCCAGATTATATCATAAAAGGAACAATGACTGCAATGAATGCCAATGGTGTCCCACTCGGATTCCCTTCACCAAGTCAATGCATCTATATCCCATTTGCAGTGGGTGTTGAGTACTAAAGACTCAGAGTTCTCCCTTTCTAGAGAAAATTTTCCTTGATCAAATGAGAGGCACTTCACCCAGGAAGTTATGTTATCCCCACCAGAGCACATCTAGAAGTCAATGAGTGCCTAACACAAAGATACAAAAGGCCAGCCTTCTTGTCTTCAGGTGGGACCAAAGCTGTGATGTAATGTGTGCTTCAGAGCTTCTTGAGGAACCAAAGCTGAAGCTGGTCTCCAACTGAGATCACAGCCTCACATAATTTTCTTTCCCTGCTCTATCCTATTTCCCTCACTCATCTTCTCATGACAATATATCCTTTAAACAAGAATTTCTACCTCAAGCTCTGTTTCTAGGGGACCCACCAGGCTTAAGAGAGTGGGACTGACACAGAGGACTAAACCTGAAAGATGATGGCATTAAAAGCACTGGAGGAACAATCAGTCCTATACCAGGGTTCCAATATCCTTGAATCTGGCTATTAAAGTGATGGATATAAGTACAGATTGCTGAGGTGGGAAATGTCAGATTTGAGTTTTCTCAGATTATATCTCTCTGTTGAAACAATTACAGAGTTAACTAACTTCCTCCCTTTTTTCCTTTCCTCCATTCACAAATATTCACATGCTCCTACTAGTTATTAGATTATATAATTGTAGTTACACACACTATATATGTGTATGTATTCTCTCTCTCTCTCTCTCTCTCTCTCTCTCTATATATATATATATATATATACAGCTGTCTCCTCTCCCCATTAGGAAAATAGTGACACTTATCACTAGGGTATATTTAAGATAATTTTATCTTGGTAAGAAAAAAAGAAGGGTTAAGTTCTTAAGATCTGGCCCTTGACAACTGGGGTAGGGGCTTCTGCACGGGCTACCAGACAGCAGTTGAATGCACAGAAGAGCTCATGGGCAGCATCAGGAGGGGCTTACACCATTCACTGGGCTCAGGATGTGTTGATGGTCTTTGTTCCACTGTTGAGCTGTCACCCAGAGGGTCCCTCAGACCAGGCACAAAGGAGAAGACACTGGGAGCATGAGTTTTAGAACAGAGAGTGACAGAGTTTAAACAACTGGAGGGAGAAGATATAAGGAGCCATGCTTAACCAAGAACTTCAGGCTAAGAGGCCAAAGTCTTCTGTGTCACTTAAATCTTCTGTACTGACCTCTCCGTAGCATATGACACTGTGATCAGTTCCTTCCTTCTTAAAATTTCTCCTTGTTCCTTCTGTTTCTCATCTCTCTCTGATCACTAGTTCTTGGTTCTTTCTGGGTCTTCAGCCTCCTCCACTTGACCCTTAAGCATACTTTTAAATGATAATGCTCTCAGAATTTTATCCTCAGATCTCTTCTCTCTATATATACTCTCCCCGGGCCATCTCATCTCCTTCAGTAAACCCCTTATTTACGTATAAACTATTGATTCCCAAATCTACTTGGGAAGGCCTGAATTATCTTTTGTGATCAGATCCATAATTCTAGTCACTAAAAGAGTCCACTGAGTTGTCTCTCAAGCACATCAAACTCTCCATGTCTGAAGATCGAAGTCTTCCAGAGGCAGTATTGTATAGCTTAATGTTAAGAGTATGAGCTCTGAAATCGATCCTGGATTCAAATTCCAGTCAACAACTATGTTAGCTGTGTGATCTGGGGCAAATCATTTAACCTTTCTAAGCCTCAGTTTCTTTATTGTTAAAATGAGGATAACAGTCACTGCCTAATAGAAGTCAATGTGAGGATTAAATGAGATGAGTGTAATGCTTTTAACACAATGCCTGGAACAAAGTAAATATGCAAAAAATTATATCTGTTGTTGTTAACTGTTTTCCTGTAGTGTTTCTTTTTTTCTATTAAGGTGGCCTAAACAGACACATGAGCTAAATACCCTGATTCTCATGGCCACGACCCTAGTGTTAACTTTGTCATCGGCACAATCCCAGTAATCTTCTACCCACATGAAATCAGGTCACCATTTATTGTTTAAAAAATACCTTTGTAAGCTCCAAATTAATTCTGGAATAAAGACTAAACTACTAGGGTGGGACAAAGCTCTGTCTTTCAGCATTCGGCCCTAGTTTCTCTCTCACCACTCTTCACCATGGTCCCTATGCTCCAGGCACACTGGAATACATGCCATTTCATAAATGTAGCATTGATCCCATGCCTCTGTGTCTACTTGTCTTTTTTACTTCTCTTCCCTTTGTCATGGCCCTCCCAGATCTCCCTCCTTAAGTTCCCACTGGGCAAAATCTTATCTTCCACATCCTGGTTTACTGTCTCTTTCCTATGCACTTTCCTAAGCCTCTTCCCCTTGGGTATGATTAAATGTTTCCTGCTCTGTACTCCCAAAGAAATTTGTTTAGGTCTCTTTTTATGCATTTACCATCCTGAACTGGAATTATTGCTATGTTTATTTCCCACTAAATTATTAATTCCTTAATGTTAGGGACCCTATCATATCGATTAATTAGTGTTTAGTTACTGTTGGTTGAAAATAAACATTATATTATAAAAGGAGTTTTATCAAAAGAAGAATTCCTCAGTAAGTGTCTAACAAGGGTAGCACAGCCAAGGGGTAAGAAAGACTGCCATTTGTCTGAACTATAGAGATTTTTGAGAAGAAATGAAGACTGTTTGGAATGTTAGGGCGTGGTGGTCATAAGTTCAGAACAAGAAACTTTAGAGTCAAACAGAAAAGACCTTTCTTACCCAGGGAGCCAGAGGGCATGAGAATGGGCATGTGCAGAACAGGGCAAGTGCAAAGCCTTGGCTCTAAATAAATGCAAAGTGGGCATGCAGCATAGTCTGTGCCCAAGAGAGGGGGTGACCTAGGATCCCTGACTGGAGACATTAGCAAAAAGGCTCTAGTGCTCCAGAGGGTCAGATATCAATACCATCCAGAAATTTTACATGGACAGGCAAGGCAAGCTGGGCAATTCCCAGGATAAAAATGTGCTGCCTTAGGAAACACACTGCGGAAGAATCATGGGTTCGCACATTCAACCCTATTACCTAGGAGGGTAAAGTGATGTGTTGAGCAGAACCCTGGGACTAGAAATGAGAGTCTCGGGTCTAAGTAAACGCAGAGGACATTAATAACCTCATTGTGTTGCTGCAAAATTAATGAGGTCAGGAATGTCAAAAGATGTCATAAAACAGCATCACAGGGTACAAAGCACTTTTTTTCATGTTTCCATAAAAATGGGGAATAAGGTCTCTGAAAATGTCTGAAGTTTCCAAAAACTTTTTATCCCCCTTCCATCTGTCACCTTAACTGCCACTTCGCCTCAAGCACACACTTATACACACACACATACTAACTAGCAGCCAGTCTCTCACAATGGCAAAGACTAAGCACTGAGATGAAGATGCTGAAACACTGAAGCACAAAGCTGAAGCACTGAGATTCAGCCGGCCTGGAAGGGAGGCACCTCCACAGCACGAAGTGGGCAGTTTTCACTGGAGGTCAAATCAGGATGGACCTCAGAAGGCAGCAGCAGGAGAGAAATGGAGGAATAGAGAGGGGAGCCAACCGGAGGACCCAAGCATCACCCTTCAGACTGTCCAGCCCTGAAGCACCCTAATCTCCCACAGTCCTGCCAGCTGACTACCAGCCTGAGCAGCTTTTAGCAATTAGAACCATAGCACACACTCAGATAACATTTGGAAGCTCTGAAGGAAACTGGAGCTAAATCACTCTATTTTGAAAACAAAACATAATCAAGGAAAAATAAACAAAGAGAGGGGTCTTTTTCTTTATTAGAAAGCCTGCACTTCCTTAACCCCCAGGGAGTAGCCCTGTGCTTGAGATTTTCTCTGAAAAGTCACACTATTTTAGCAAGTCTCAGGAAGTTTCTTGGAGAACTGTGAAGAACATCTTAGCCCTTTCTTGAGGATGGGGCATCAGGAGCCTCCAGTGATACAGAATAGAAATCTACATTGAGGCCTTCAATCCTCCCCATTCCTTCCCCCTAGCCTCTAGGACTCTGTCCCCCAGTGCCCTCACAGCCCCCATACCAGCCCATCCTCACATTCTTTCCCAGAGCTCTCTGAATGCCTTCCATCTCAGACACGTGTGGAAAAGCAGTCAGGGATACAGACCCATAAGAACAATGAGGTCACTGCCAGCATTGATTCTATTGTTTTTATGATTGTAACAGAAATCACTGAATACCTACAAAATGCCAGACAATATATAAATATTATCTAACCCAGGAGCAGTTCTGCATAATAGGACTTCTATGTATCATTTCTACGTTATAGGTGTAAAAACTGAGTCCCCAAGAAGTTAAATAATATTCCCAGGGTTTAGTAGCTGACCGGTAAAAGAGATATTTGACCTAGACTGTTCAGTTCCAACACCTGTACATTTTCCCTTTAACCGGCTTTGTGTTGCAACTTCTGAAAACAAATAAAATCTGCCCAAGAGGCAGGGTAGAAGAAGGGCTTGGTAAGTAGGACACCTGGCCCAGCTAGACTCTTGGAAGGGAAACCAAGAGTGCAGTAAAGGGGACCCTCCTGGACTGGGACTTGGGTGCTCTCCCCTTTTCAGCCCCAACTCCTCTGGCTGTGACTTGGGAAGGGCCCACAGTGGAAAGTAAAAAGGTTTATCCTCTACTGAGTACTTTCTTCTCAAACAATACAGGCCTCTCATCAACCTGTCAGGCAGGTAACATTAATCCCATTTGACAGATAAGGATGTTGAGGGTTAGTTAGCGCTCTCAGCTTCAAATCCATGTGCTTTCCAATAGGCCAAGCTACTGCCCTGCCCCTTTCCCAGTTTCCTTTTGAATAAACCAATGGTTTTTAAGGATTATTTCAATGTTAATCTCCAAAGAATCCCAAATTTTGTCCAGAAGGCCTCTCTAAGACTCAGGACACCTGACCAGGTCTCCCCACTTAGGTTCAGTGGCTAAACACACAGAGTGTTCCATGCCGAGAGCAGTGGGGTAGGGGCCTCTGGTGCCCCTGCCAGCCTCTATGGGAACACCTGGAAGAAAATGTCCTTGGAGGGAAGCCCAGGAATACCTGGGAACCTCTGGCTCTTACTCCCAGGCCCAGAGAGGGAAGGCAGACCTCAGGGGTGATGCTGTGGCTGGCAAGGATGATCAGAGCTCATCACTCAATTCATGGAGAGGGAGCCCTTCTCTTAACACTCCATGAGGGTGCTGGCCGCAGAATCATATCCACCCCAAATCATCTGTGTCTTCTCTCCCTCGTACCTTGCTTGGATTTGATAACGCAGATGAGCCCTTATAGGGCCTTGGCCATTCTTTTTAGAATGGCCACGAGGAGATTGGAAAGATGAGAGATAGCAATTTCTGACTCACAAAAAGCAGTGTGAGGTTCCCACTCCCACTCTCCTCACTCAAGTCAGCCTGGCCCTCCAAAATCACCCCCAGGCAAGCTCCAGGGGTCCAGGGCCCTGCTGATCCCTTTCCCAGGTAGAACCAGAGCCAGTAAGACTCCCACACACCTTCAAAGTTCGACCTAGTTATCAGGGCCCTTCTAGGCTTCTCTGAGTGTTGCCTACATGCAGTGGAAAAGCCTGATCTGGGACTTTGATTGGTACACTGATTTCTTTTTTTTTTTTCCAAAAATTATTGACTGAATGACTACGCCAGACTCGGTGCTAAGCGCTGGAGATACTGAAATACAGAGTAAACAAGTCATGGTTCAGGCCTCCAGTGGTGGGGAGACATTAAGACAAATATGCAGCTATCATAACATGTTGTGATAAATGCTAGGACAGGGGTAAGTACAAGAGCCTCGGGAGCAAAGCAGACAATAGCTCACCAAGTTATCAGGCTCAGAGGGCTTCCCTGAGGAGGTGACATCTGAGCCAAGACTTGCAGGGCCAGTCACAGTTAAGCAGGCAGGGTTGGGGGCGTGGGGACAGCAGCATTCAGTGAGACGACAAAACACATTGAGCGCCTACTATGTGCCCAAAACTGGAGATAAAACAGTGGATAATACAGAAAAGATCACTGCTCTCATGGAACTCAAGAACTAGGAGAGCCATAACAGAAGGTAAACAAATAAGCAAGAACATTTCAGGTAAAGATAAGTGCACTGAAGATAGAGTGATGGATAGAAAAGGACAGAGGCGGGGCACCCTTATTTGAGACAGCAGGTCAGTGAAGGCCTCTCTGAGGCAGTGATATATGAGCTGAGAGCTGGGTGATGAGAAAACACCAGCCATTCTAAGATCGAGGCAAAGAGTGTTTCAGGCAGAGGAGGCAAGAGAAAAAGGTCTTCTGCTTTGGGGGTTCCCAGGAGGAAGAAGGTCAAGGTAGCCCAAGTATCAAGAGCACAGGAGAGTTGTAAGAGATGAGGTCAGAGAGGAGGGCAGGGGCCAGATCGTGTAGGGGCTTGCAGGACATGGCAAGGAGCTTTGATTTAATTCTGAGTGACTTGGGGGAATTTAAGCAATAGACCTGATCTAATTTGTTTTCAAAAGTGCATTCTGACGAACGCAAAGACCCAGAGAGAAAGAGAACACACGCTGTTTGAAAAGCTGCAAGTGGTTCAGTGGGAGGAGGGGGGTGGGAGGTTAAACGAGTGCAAGGCAGGGGCAGTCGCAGTGTGGACACAAAATCCACTATTTAAATGGGCTGAAGACTGAACCCTGATCCTAGACACAGACTGGGTCAGCATCAGAGCCCCGGGAAGATTGCTAGGTCTCAGTCTCAGCCACAGCCTGACTCCTGATGCAAAGCACGACATGAGCCTGGACCCCATTCAGAGCCCACAACCCAAACAGAGCTATGGTCTGACCCCTGATCACAAAGTGAGCTTTGACCACACTAACGACCTGAGTGGGACTGGCTGCGTTCTCACACTGAACCCCAATCAAACTCTAGCTCAGTCCCAGCCCCATCTGTTCTCTGCCCCCATCACTTTCATTTAGGCCAGTTCCCGCCAGGCTCTACATGGGCACCCCAGTAAACCGATCACTAGAAAATTTCTTGAAAACTGCCTAGGAAGCATCCAACACCACCCATGCTTCCCTTCACCACACGAACATAGAAATTGCTAAGTCTGTCTGTCCTTTGAGTCAGGGGCCTCCTTTACCTCCCCGGTCCTACCCCTGGACTTCTGGTTCTTCCGGGCCTGGTTTCTCATTCACTCAGCAGGTCTAATGAGGGACCCCTAGCTGCAAGAAAAACCCACACACCCGGACTCACCCCCAGTCTCCTGCACTCACCTCAACTGCGCTGAAGGAACGTGTGCCCTTTTCTCCAGGACTCTTCCAGAAGCAGTCTGGCAGGCTGCACTGAAGAGCAGCCCTCTCTGTCTCCACCCCCTCCTTTGAGCCTCCCACGTCAGGCTTTTTTATTCTGTCATACCTCCTCCCTCCTTTGGCTTCTCCCTCCTGGGGGGCAGGGTGCTGCCAGAGGGTCTATCAGCAGGTACCACTTGTAGCCAACTGTGGGACTGGTGTCCTTCTTGGCTTCTGTGTTCTGGGAAGGTGTGCCTGGAGTACGGGGGAGGAGGGGCAGTGGGTAGAGGGGTCTCTAGAATCCTCCCCAGATGGGCCCTGTGCCAGCTGGGATATTTCTGCCAGTTCCCATGTGAAGTTAGACAGAGTGAATGAGTGAGGAAAGGCTAGAAGAAGCTCATGTGTGTGGCCATGGCCTTTGCGAGGAGTTTTCTCCAAGTTTCTTACCAGGCTTATCAAACTCGGCCAGAGGAAAAGCAGGATGTACTTTTATGGGGACCCCGAGATTAAGTGCCAACTCATCGCCTTCCTGAAGCTTTCCCTGACCTTCTTTCCATTGGTGGTGCCGCTTGGGTCCTTGCTGGGCCTGGATCCCAATGGACCCACCTGCTTTTCCCCAGAGCTCTAGGGCTGCATCTTCTTGGTCCCCCAGGCTCTGGGGACTGTCTCTAGCTAACGCATAACAGGGATCCCTGGGGACCATGCCTCTGCCTTCCACTCCCTGGCCTTGAGTTCCTGAACTTCTTGTTGAGGAAGGAGGACGTGGTTTCCTTAACCCTCCCTTACCTCCAACCCCAGCCATATAAGACATCTGTTTTTCTCTTAAGGGCAAAAATAGTGAGAGGACATTTTAGAGAGTTAGAGAACAGTTTGAATGTGAAACGAAATACCTCGCATATTTAAATGTTTTTAAAAAGTCTATTAATAAAGCAAAGTAAATTTTAGTTGGTTTCTCAGTTTCACAACTACAAGTTTAAATTCACAACACAGGGCATATGCTGACTTAATCTATGTAAAATTAGACAACGTCAAATCAGGCCATTCCAACTCAGACCGCATCAAAACTAGTGATTACCTGATCTCCAAGTACCTGTAAACCTGCAGCCTGACACTCACTGCCATCACCCTGGAGCCATCTCTGCTGCTTCCTTCAACCTCCCGTAGACTTAGACAGTGTGAAGACTTAAAAAGTGATACCCCAGGGACTTCTACTTCTGGCCAAGACAGAATAACAGGAAGTAGCATCCACCTGAAGGAACCTAAAATGGACAATATACATAAAACAATAGTTTGCAAGATACTGGATATCAGGCAATGAAGGACAATGAGCCCTGCAGCCTGGGAAACAAATGAGGTGAACCTGGGGTTTCCCCAACTTACTGCCTTGAGAGAGGTTCCCTGCTGCAGGCCAGGGTAGGTGAACCCAGGCAGAATCCAGAGGACACCTTAAGTTAGGGTCGTGGAGCTGAGAGTCCAGGAAGCTCCGGCTAGCTAGAGTTTGAAGACCAGGTATTGGAGGTGAGAGATCTACACAGAGAAAGAACTCCAGAGACATGTAGAGGGCCCTCTGCAAGATTCCAGCTGAGTACTGAGCCCACATGCACGTGAACAAGCTACCTAAAGCTGGGACAGAGCCACCTGGAAAGATTAGAGGTAGCACCACCACCCAGTGTTCACACAGGGCCAAGGAGAGTGACTGTTTCCACCAGCCAGACTAGAAAACTTCAAGATTCACAGGGCGTTGAGTAGAGATTACAGAAGGATCCTGCCTTCATAGTGGGGAATAATTAACCAAATATTATCTATAGTATAATGTTGGGTTTAGATCATAATTGATCATTAATGGGTGGGGAAAGTACTTTGTTGACTTTATAAAGTAGCACAGGTCAAACTAAGGACGATAATTTATAGAGACAGGAAAAAGAGATGAGCGTGGATGGGGTGGGGAATGGGAGGGCTGGGGAGGGATAAGTCAATTTATTTATCTTAGGTAAACCGGAACTCACTCACCCTCTCCTTCTCTCCAAGGGGTCCCAGCCAAAGAGCCATTGAACACATTATATGTCAGGCCCCAGAGACAAAGAAAACTAGTGTTGTCCTCAAGGGAGACAGACAACTATGTATATGGATATTTCAGTTCTGTGATGGAAGATAAACAGACAGCTATCATAAAACTATTTAAGCTCTATGACAGAGGGATAAATATCCAGTTGGAATACAAAAGCTTTAAGTTTTATGACAGAGGGAAACAGACTCTGCGGGAGCCTAGGGGAAGCCCTTAATTTAGTCTGGCAATTAGCCGACTTTTCCAACAAGCAACAATTACCCCAGTCACCCCCAGTTATCCAAGTAAAGAGATTCTGGAGGAACAGAGATTTCCCAAGATCTCCTGAGAAAGAAGGCCATGAGTTAATCTAAAGTCAGTGATACTGCAACCTGGATAAGGGACTAGCTCCTGGCCTTGACACAACAGGTTGTTATGAAAGGTGAAGTCTGCTGTGCTTTGAAAATTCCCTGTAATGCAATAAACATATCTCATTTTATCAGTTTTATTATTAAAACCGTTGCCACCAATGTGTATTGATTACTTTCTATTTTCCATGTGTTTTCACACCTATTATCCTATTTAATCCCCACAACCACCCAACCAGAGCTACATTATACCTCCTTTTTACAGCATTTAGAGTTTCCAAAAATCAATGAGGTGCAGTAGGCTAAGTAACTTGCCCAAATATTAAAGCTAGTGATCCTAACGTCTATTGCATCTAATTCCAACCCCACAATGTCTCTTTTCCTAATACAGTTATCTACCATGTCTAAAGGAATTTCTTGGCAAGGTTGTGCTGTCTTTGAATTTCATTTGTAAATTTGAACATCATTTGTAAATCAGACACCAGCATAGGAAAATAAATGTCAACTTGTCTGAAGCTTTGTGAAAACACTTTATTAAGAGAAAAAGAGTTGTTTTAAGAACAATAAGTCAGGACAGCCACATGTGGCAAAACTGGTGATGCACTGCACAATACGGGAGCACCATTCACGTGGACCATGGTGTGGACAATGTTTCCTAAAGCTGTACAGTGAGACAACCATGAATATGATCATTTCTTGCATATTTACAACACTTTGAAGTCTACAAAGAACATTCATAGGGTTTAAGCTTTACAACATCACTGCTATTGTAGTTTCTCATTATACAGAAGAGGAAACAAAATCCAGAGAGGTTATACAGTATGTCACTTTATGATATTTCCAGGACTTTAACCTTATAAGTCGTACTTCAGTGTTCTTTCTTCTGCCTCAAATGAGCGTACATTGTTCTCTACCTATAATTCTTCAATGTGAACGTTTTTGACCTAACAAATTTCAAGAGCTGAAAGTTAAGTGAGTCTACGTGGGGGGCGGGGAGACCCCTGGGGGGGTGGTGACAGAGTCTTCACAATGTCTCCTATTGCTCTCCTTCACACCCAACCCCCATCCTCGTTCACTGATTCCCCAAAGGGATTAAAAGAAACTCCCTACAATCAAGGACACTTAAACATGTTTAGTAGATTAGCAAGAAAGCCAAGGAGGAGGGGAAGATATGTGATTTGCTACTGAAGCAAATTTAGGGAGATCAGTGCCTCCAGAAGGGTGGGAGGAAAGAAGGGAAGAAGTCACAGAAGCACCTGAAATCCTTGTGGTCAGGATGAAGAAGGTGTGGTCTGCCTATTGAGAAGATAACCACTGTGCTTTTCTATCAGTCCCAGAGACTGAAACATAATCCCAGGCTGAGCCCAAGCCAAGAAACTGGGCCTCTTTGAGTCATGGCTCCCAAATATGGAAATTACTTCAATTTCCTACCTCCATCCTGATATATACACACATTCTTCAATCAGTGCCCAGGAACACAGAAGTTATACCCATCTTGTGTCATATAATCCATACCCAGTGCACAAAGGAAATACTCCCTAAAACACAATAATCACAAACAATGCATACACACACACACACCCTTGTACACATATCTTTTTTTTCACATATCCTTCAGACATTATATTCCACCTACATATGACTAAAGACATATATATTACATAAATGGATTTCATATCACAAATACGACAACAGATATATGCCCAAAGATAAACACCACACATGCCAAAAGGCACAGCATCCCAACACTACACATTCCACACACTCATGCATATTATATATTCCACATTGTTATGAATATGTAACATTGTACATTTACATATTACAGATATGAAGGAAAAAAGAGGCATCATTCTCATCAGATACACATAAAGATATTGTCCATCATTCTCACATAGGTGCACATCACATACCAACTAACAGAGACCACATAAACATAATAAACGTACAGAGACATTATTTATGAAGTGTATACACACCAGGACACAACTATCACACAGACCAAAACACAACTGGCACATGTTCTATGTACTGACACGCACACACTAAAAATACATACAGTCACATAAACACACATGCTCACAGCCACAACCAGGATAAGCATCACCCTTCAGGAAAAACAGTCTCCAATAGAACCACATAGATGACATTGACATTGCCAGATTCCACATAAATACACTCACATGCATACAGAAAAGTAACATTTCATGTGAGCTGTTTCTTCGTTTGCTACCGTCTTCCTCCCTCCAATTACTATCACCCAAATACCTTCATTAACCCCTAAAAATGGCTGTGTAACCACTTTGGGGTCCAAGAAAGAAGCTTTATAGCTAACACAGATTCACTGACATGGATACATGGAAGCAAAATAATTAAAATCATATATCAAGACTGGAATGAATCCTAAGGTATGTCATTTACAGCCTTCTCATGTCAGTACTGGGTGTATTTTCTGGTTGGGAGAGAGGAATACAGCAAGGCCACCATAGCAGAGAGACTAGGGTGATCATTCACCAGGATAACCTGTCCAAACTGTCGTAAGTCCTTCTGTATTGACACATTCCTGGAGACAGAAATTCAAGGTCTATTTAAGTAACTGGGAGCAGACATCCCAGTGGGTTGGATGTGCCAGTCACCAAGATGTTCAACAGGACCCAAATCCTGCCATCT